TTGGTGGTTCAAACCCATCAGCTGCTCCTCAGAAACCCAATACAGGCTCGCTATGAGTAGACAACGACTTGACAGCACTTAACCACAGCAACATCTGAGATGAGACTGACGGACTTTTATTCAGTTTAGAGAAACACAGACTAAAGGATGAGGACACAAATCACAGCTGATCTTGCTGAAACGCAGACTCGGGCTCAGTGGGTCTCAGGTGGGACCTGAGATTCTGCATCTCTAGCAAGCTCTCAGGGCACGCCTAAATTATCAGTTCTGAATTACACTTTGGATAGCCCAGAACCAATCAGTCCCTCTTCAGATGGACACAATATTAATCAAAATGCCCGTGTGCGTCCATACTCAGAACCTAACGAAGTAGATATGACTAAAGATAAAAACGCCATACTTTTGTGAGGCAAATTGTAAAAGCCTTCTATATGCATCATCCTCTTTGTTTCTCTTAACTCTGGAAAGTAGGTATCATTATCATTATAGTCTTATGATAAAATATCACAGACCGAGGGCTCCGCTACGATTTACACTCATAAGTGACCATTTCCAGATAACCCAATGGGCTGGTCATTGTCTTTGCAGAGAGCCTCACCAGGTACAACGACTGATCGGTTTCTGCTGGTTCAGGGGATATCCTTAGGGAACAATCTTTGAGAACCCATGCCAATCTTTAAGGGACTTCTGAATGCCTTTATGAAATGGCTTATAATTTCTTTGACATCTCTCCTATCAAATCCCCCCACTCCCAAGTGATAATTTCAATTGGTAAAATACCCAAATCTTGGATTCCTAAACTACAGCTAATTACTGAACATGTCTTCCCTGTTCCTACTCTTCTACTCATCTTCCAACAATCCATCTTCACCAGAATTCCAGCCACTTGTCTGCTAAAAGCCCTCTAGTGACATCACACCCTACTTAGAATACCACCCAGACTCCTTCCCATGGTCCCCGGGGCCCTCACAATATTTCCTACCTGACTCCCACCTTATCTTGCCCGATGGTAATCCATACCTTTTTTCTGATCCTCAAACATCCCAAATACTTTCTCATGATGGAGCCTTTGTGCTTCTTCTTCCTGGAATCATTTGTCCAGATTTCCTTATAGATGACTTCTTTGTGGGATTCAGGACTTAGTTTACAAGGTCTCTAAAGGGTCTTTTCTGACTAGCCAATCTAATGTAACAATCAGGAATTCTCCTTTTATATCTTGTTTCATTTGACCACTACCTGCAAACATTTTGTTTGCTTATTGATTCATTTGTTTAAAAGATTGTCTCACGCTGTCCGCCCACCCCATCTGTAGGGCCCTGGGAATAGTCTTCATGGCTGTGACATCACCTTCTAAGGCAATTCAGGCTACAGACTCCAGTCATTTGCTTTTGACTAAATTACTGAAGGGGAATTCTTTCAGGTGAGAACATGACCTATTTTCACAACACCAAATCACTTTGGAAAGTTTAGATCTGTAGAGCCCATTCATATTCCCATGTGGTCTAGTGACTAGGAACATGAAATCAGATGGTCTGTTGACAATAGTTCCTTGCTTTGTGGAATGTGAGCAAATCACTCGGTCTGTTTTATGTTTTTAGTCCTTTTATTTATTCATTTACTTTGGTGGGGTAGGGGGTAACAGTAAGGAGTTACAGTTCTGACTATGGCTAGGTCTAGACTAGTTTCAGGGTTTTGTGTAGTGTTAGGTTTATGATTAGGAATAGCAGTAGAGGTAGGGGTTGGGTTAGGGTTAGGAATAGGACTTGATCTAGTTTTAGATTTACAGTTAGGTTTATTTTTATTTACTTATTTTTCTTCTTGAAATCCTCTATTTTAAAGTTCTGAAACTACACTATTCCCTCTTCTTAGTTTGTGTTTTTGTTGTTGCTGCAAACTGCTAACTCTGGTTTCCTATTTTCATTCCTGTAGATTTGCTTTACTTTGGATATTTCTGTATCTGGGTTGAATTCTGGGTGACAATACCATGTATGTGAATCTCAGATTGTTGTTTTTTGTTTTTTTGTTTGTCCATAAAATGAAAAAGAGGGTGGTGGTGACGGCTCAGAGAGGTCATTAATTGAACAGCTCCATTTAATAAAGAAGGGCCAAGGGAAGAGTACATGACATTAAACTAAAGCTCTGAAGCTAGTGCGCTCCATTCCTAGACTGACACATCAAGGACAAGTAGACTGTAACGGAATTTCATTGAGAGCAACCATCAGAAACCAAAGACTGTGCTGTGTGCATGAGCCAGTTTGGGCCTAGAATATGTTAAAAACAAAAAATGACTCTTCCTGTTTTCAGTTACTTCTAATAGATACAGGGAGCCCTGGTAGTGTAGTGGATTACGCATTTGGCTGCTAATCTCAAGGTCAGCAGTTCAAATCCACCAGCCGCTCCATGGAGAGCTTTCTGCTCCCACAAAGACTTATAGCCTTGGAAACCCTATACAGTGTCCAGAACACTTAATTGTGTTCATGAGGCACCTGTACATAGACTAAGAGGTAGTCATTTGAACAGAACAAGGGAGTTCTGAATGTTTTAAAATCAAAAAAGATGTGTACCAGGGTTGTGTCTGTTCACCATACTTATCCAATCTGTACGCTGAGCAAATAACATGAGAAGCTGGATTATATGAAGAAGGCATTAGGATTGGAGGAAGACTTATTAACAACCTGTGATATGTAGATGACACAGCCTTGTTTGCTGAATGCAAAAAGGACTTAAAATAATTACTGATGAAGATCAAAAATTGCACCTTAATGTAAAGAATAAATAGAATCATGATAACTGGAGAAGAGATTGAAGTTGTCAAAGACTTCATTTTACTTGGATCCACAATCAACACTCATGTAAGCAAGTGAAGAAACCAGACGATGTATTGCATTAGGCAAATCTGCTGCACAAGACCTCGTTAAAGTGTTTAAAGGACAAAAAAAATTTCTGTGAAATAAAGATAAATTCTTGTATATCATCAAATGACCACACCTTAAAAATAATATTTATACTTGTATGCTGTTTTTTGTTGTTGTTAAGTGCCACCAAGTTGGTTCTGACTCATAGCGACCCTGTATAGGGTTTCCGAGGAGCAGCTGGTGGGTTTGAACTGCCAGCCTTGCAATTCAAACTGACCTTCTGGTCGAGTGCTTAAAGAATATGATGAGTTAGTCAATATTATTTTCATTTTATTAGATTAGAACCTGAGTCTCAGAGAGATTTTGTCATTTGTTCAAGACTAGAATCTGGACCCAGTTTCTTTGACTTCATGTTTAAGGGTCTTTTCATCAAACACGTTCTTCACAAAGACCTCTAAAGATGAGTCCAAGAACAAAATGAACCTACCTTCTAATCAAGGCAGAAAGTCAATCTAGCAATAATTTTTCAAGACGGTTGCCTATATTTCACATGTTTACTAGGGTGTGTGGGTTAAATCTCTGGTTTGCTCGCCACTACTAAAGCCAGCGCTGTTTGTGTTCTTCTTGTTCATGTCTCTAATTCATCACCTAACTCTGATATGTTGTTGTTGTTGTTGTTGTTGTTAAGTGCCGTCGAGTCGATTCCGACCCGACCATGTACAGGGTTTCTGAGTAGTAGCTGGTGGGCTTGAACCGCTGACCTTACAGTTCAAATGGCTTTGCAGTCTGGCGCATTAACCCACAGCGCCACACCAGGATTCCATATCAGGACCCCATATATAGGGGTGGCCATAAACTCAGGGAAAGAGAACCACTGGCCATTCATGTGCGGTGACTCTGTAAGACAAGCAATGGACTATGAACCACAAGGTTGGTGATTGGAGCCCATCAGTCCCTCCGGGGGGTGGAGGGGGTGGGGGTGGGGGAGGGGAAGATGAGCCTTTCTGCTTCTGCCAAGATGTACAGTCTGGGAATAGACGGATCACTATGAGTCATAGTTGACTTGACAGCACTTCACAACAACATTCATAAAATAATTTATTTGAAATATGAGTAAAAGTTATTCAAATGCCATCCCTTTCATTCTACCTGGTCTCCTAAGATAACCAATTTTGTCACACTAAATTTTAAAATTTGAAAGAAATATTGTTAACCACATATTTTTGTGGTTTACATACCGGGCAATGTATATTCCATAATTTCCAACATTTATCCAAAACACATAAAAGAGATCATATACAATAAGTACTTGGTAAAACAAAAACAGTAGCTAAATTAGAAACTCACGACTATGAGTTTAATGGATATTTACTAACTACGTAAAAATATAATAACTGTTGCTATTACATATACATATATAGCAAAAAGCTTGTCTATTTTAAGTAGATTAATCTTAGAAACCAAATTAGCACTGTGCTTTCTGAAATAATAGCTAGTGCTAATTCAGACCAAAAGTTTGGACAGTTTCAACTAATACTAATAAGATTACGTGAACTTTAACACTGTAGCTTTCTTTAACTCCTTCTCCTTCCCACCGTCCCACCCACCCCCACCTTTGATTATTAGTTCCGTTCATGATTTCAAAACAAAACAGACCCACAACAATAAAACCCAGAATCACTTGGAATCATTTCCAACATCAGGACAAACTGGGTAAACCGGGAATGCTTACTTCTTTGTCCCCAGGGCTCATGATTTACCTTGATTAACGTGTTAATTTTTACATATGTGAATAAATTGTAAAGGAGCAAGTAACTGGAGGTGGCACCGTGTGCTAGCCATCATTGCAGGTGGGTAAACTGACAACATGTAACCGCATATTAAGACAAATGTAGAATTTAGACAAAGTATTCCATCTCTTTCGTGATGTATACTTTTAAACCTCAGGAACTGTTTTCAGTAGATGTCATGCCTTTTAACTTGAAAAAAGATAAGCGCAAATAAGCTCCCAATTGTCTCCCCAATATGTAAACCACATCTCGGGCTGCTGTCTCTGAGACGCCTTTGAAGTTTCCCTGAAATGTCATGTGCCGTGAAGACTGCTGTGCATAGGCAAGACAATTTGCTCACTCTCAGAATTCTTACCAGTTTCCACCGCTATTTGGTATCCAGCCTCGAGTCTCCGCGATGACCTTTCCAGCCTCTCTGTGTTATCGAGCAGATGTGCCCTCTGAAAAAGGAAAAGGGGGGGAAAAATCAGACGGCTGTCTACAATATGATTTTTTTTTTTTTTTTGCCTTAAAAAATAATAATGCTTTCGAATGCCCTAACATTTAAGGGGTGTGTGTGAGCACAATCCATTATAGATAATTTGTAGCAAGCCTTCCATTGTAATAACCACTATAATGGGCAGATTTCCAATCAATCAGTCGTGTTTGGACCATGCACTTTTTTGTTGTTTCAAAAGGTAGACTCATGTGCGAGGCCATGATGAATCTCACCCCCAAACACTGAGAAACATAAGAAGACCAGAGTCAATTGGCTCTTCTCTGTCTTAGTATTGGTAGACTTATGAGACTCCTGCACAGCTCAAGGATTCCTATTGGTGTTCATTTAGTTTCCACAAAATGCAATCATTTCAAAAACCCATTTGGTCTTTTGATTCCTACAGACAGTCATTTTTAAAGAGGAACTTTATTTTTAAGAGAATGCAGCAAGACGCCATATAGAACCACAACGCTACAAACACAGAATACTAAACGGTAGGTTCTGGTTTAAGGCAACTTGGCGCAGTCACCAAGAAACAAGAGGCACATGCTTCTCCATGCACACAGATGTGTGAAATAGTGGTTTGATCCCTAAATATATGGTACTAGACTTGAAGTGAATGTTTTACACATAGTATTTTCACTTGTGAACTAGAATGATCATAATTATATACACCTATATTATGATATAAGGAGCTCTGGTAGCGTAGTGGTTATGAATCGGGCTGTGAACCTGAAGGTCAGCAGTTCAAAACTATCAGCTGCTTTGTGGGAGAAAGATGAGGCTTTCTGCTCCCATAAAGATTTACAGCCTTGGAACCCTGTTCAGGGTCGCTGTGGGTCGGAACTGACTTGACAGAAATTAACAACAACAACATATTATGATATAATGGGAGAAAGATGAGGCTTTCTGCTCCCGTAAAGATTTGCAGCCTTGGAAACCATGTGCAGGAACTGACTCCATGGTACTTAACCACAACAACATATTACATCAGGGAGTCCCGGAGTAGTGCTGTGGGTTAATGCGCTGTACTGCACAGATGGTTTGAACCATGAGGTCTATGGTTCAAGCTCACCAGCTGCTCTTCAGAAACCTATGCAGAGTCACTATGGGTTGGAACCAGCTTGACAGCACCAAACAACAACATGTTATATCATGGAGTCCTGATGTGGTGCTGTAGGATAAGTACTGGACCGAAGGTCAGCAGTTCAAACTCACCAGCCACTCCTTGGAAACCCTGTATGGGGTTAGTATGTGTTGGAATTGACTCAAAGGCACTTAACAACATACCATACCTGAAGGGGAAATGGAAGGATATACTCTCACTTTCTGAGCTTATAAACTTGCTTTTCTTTATTTAGACTGCTTTTTCCTTTTCTTTTTTTAAAACCATAATAATCATGCATTTGCTTGATTTGAGGTTGCCCAATATTTCGATACCAATCATAGCTGTCAATAGATAAGAATACTGCACGTACATGTAAACGGATGTGTATGTGTAAAAATCACTCAGATATGTATGCACGCATTTATCTGAATATTTGTATGTGTGTGCATGCGTACACATATTTGTATAAATTACTACCTTTCCTCCTCAAATCAGCTTCAGTATCTAGTCAAAAAGAAGGAAAGAAAAGGCACAACCACAACTCCTCCAACTTTGTGTTGTTGACAGATGTCACTTAAAGTCGAAGGAATGCTTTCTAATAATAATAAAAAAGGAGATGCCACACATATTATCTGAGTGGCTGTCGAGCGAAACGATCTACCTTGCTCTAATGAGCCCCCATGGATCTTGGAGATGCAGGCTGTATTGACATGCACACTTAAGCTAATACACCTAGACCAGTGCCTCCAAGCTCTAGCAGCCAGGGATGCTGACAGAATAGCTCGCTTCCATCTTCAAAGAAAGGAAGTGATTAGTATGTTATCATTACCATTCAAAACGTGATTTCCTTATTCCCTCCCGGCATAGGTGACACATCTGAGATGTGGCCAGACGTTGGAGGCAGCTAAAGCCACATCAAAGCTTTCCTTGAAAAAAAAATTTTTTAAGGGGGGGGGGTTTCGGGGGAGGGAATCATTAAAACAATGCATTTAGAACAGAGAGAGGGCCTGATGTGAAGGTCAGAAAGCTGCAAACAGTCTATAATAATTAATAGAGTTTTCTAATATACAGTGGAGAAATTAACAGGAAAATTGTCCCTGCCCATACCGCCCCCCCACACACAAAGAAAAACAAAAACAATTAAACTAATAAAAGTAAGAAAAGAAAGAAAGCTAGTAACATCATGAAAAGCAAAAATGATAATCTGATGTGCATATTAAATTTAAATATACTCCAACTGATTTCTTTTGAGGACCAAAAAATAAGGTGGTGGTGAATTACACCATTTCCTAAGCTCATCACAAACAGCTTTCCCACTCCTAACTCTCTGTATGCAGTGGTTGTGGAGGTAAGGCTCACTCTTCCCTTCTGTAAGGATGATTTTCTAACTAACAAAGGACTTAGACTTCAAATTGAGGAGTCTCTAAAAAGGTATCAGTCAGATTTGTGAAATCAAGAGTCAATCTGAATTTTAATTCAGAATAAGAAAACAAAGATTTGGGATTCATTTTTATATTGAGAGCAGTTCCCTATGTTAAAAGAAAACAGCTACTGTAGATAAAAAAATTTTTAATTCAAAGATCAATACTGGAAATGGCCATTCCAATTAGATAACATATAATGTAGTAAATAAAGCAATACATGTAGAATGATCTTGGGGATTGCATGAAAGGGAGTCAAATCAGATTATGCAATGTGTGGTTATAATAGACATCTAAATTTCTAAAAAAAAACTTAGAAAAAAACAAAAAAACACTATGTATATTTCCAAATGATGGGAGTAGCTCGTCTCCAGGCCAGTTGAATGTCATCAGAGTAAACCTGCACACACGAGGACGATCCGTGTACCAGCAGCTTTTCAGCAGGACCTCACTTTGAATTTTGGAACCTCTTCACTTAAGTCAAACTAAAATCAAGTTCTCGTAACAGCGGCGCTATTTACATTGTTCCCTTAGTTGTACATGGCCCTGGTCTCCGAGAATGAAAGGAAATCCGCTGCAGGAGGAGCGGATGCTTTCAACTTGCCCCTACACTCCATCCCAAACTCATTCTCTCACCCTCTTCTCAGCCCTTTTCAAAGCAGGTAAAGTGAAACTGCAGAAGCTTCAGACAGAGCTCCACGTGTGGGGGAAGCTGCGCAATGCAGAGAGCTGGAGATGGAGGGCTCCCACTGCGCGCTCGCTCCGCACAGCCCAGCCTACAAGGGCTCGGAGACGCTGCACCACCAGCACTCTCCATCCGCTCTCAGCCTAAACACAGCAAAACGTCACATCTCTGAGCAATGACTGTCTTCATGGCATAGGTACGAGTACGATATCTGGAGTAACTTTCATTCTAAGATTTCAATATGAATACTGGCGAAGTAGCAGTCACGGCTGAGTAAAACCAGAAACCAATGAAAGTCAGCCCCGTAATCTAGAGCATAAATACCAACGCTGCAACCCTATCAAAGACTGCTAAAAAACCAAATCTACCTTCAACTGTGCGATCGAATTTTTCCAATAACAGTCCCGTTACAGGTTACAATTTTGAAAACACACGCTCCAGAACCATACTGATAAAACTGGTGCTCGACAAAAGAATTAAGCCATCAAACAAAGCTAAAACACACTTGAAAAGAAAGGCAGATGTGATAAAGTCAGCTTTTAGAAATAAGACTTCTGGGTCCACACTACCCAGCTTAGCAAAATAAGTCTTTGGTTGGAAATGCTGACTTTAATAAGGCACAGATTTTATCAATCATATTCCCTGCTCGCATGTAGGCCTGAGACTTTCGTGTATGTAAATTTTTTTGTAGAGGTTTTCAGGTCTATTGTTAGTTTCCATTGACAACTGGTAGCGTAGTGGTTACGAATCGGGCTGCGAACCTTAAGGTCAGCGGTTCGAAACTACCAGCCGCTCCGCGGGAGAAAGATGAGGCTTTCTACTCCCGTAAAGATTTACACCCTCGGAACCCCTGTACAGGGTCGCTATGGGTCAGAACCGACTCGATGGCACTTAACAACAACAACAACATTGACAACTGGAAATACAGACTCTATTAAAGCATGAGCAAATGCAAACACACAGAAGCCCATATTCTAAAAAATAATGTTGATGTATTTACCTACCACCCACAAGAACTATCTTGTGCATCCACACTGCAAATGATTAGTTTCATTTAAGTTATATGTGTGTGTAGCTGTTATTTCTCTGGTGGAAAGAATAAAAACTCAAAAAAGTGAGGTTTTTATTTTCCCCCTTCATTTTTAGATCATTATTATTTTTACTAAGAGAGGCCATCACTTAAGTGTTGTCAAGTAGATTTCTCCCTATAGCGACCCTGTATAGGGTTTCTAAGGAGCAGCTGGTGAGCTTGAACCACCGACCTTACAGTTCAAATGACTTTGCAGTCTGATGCATTAGCCCACAGCGCCACACCAGGCCATCACTAATACACCTTAAATGGGAAGAGTTGTTGAAAACCACAATCTACACACGTCTAGATCAGTATTGACATCACAGACAGAATAGCAACATATTATTTTAAAAAGTAAAAAACTTGTAGGAAAATCTCCATCAGTTTAGTCACTGTACACATAAAAATAATTCACAGTGATATGATTACTATATACAATTAAACATTAATTTTCAAATGGCAATTTGGGCCTAACATAAAAGTTACAAAGTTCAATCTTACTATACAAAAAAAAAAAAGAAAAAAAAAATATATATATAATAAGCGCTCTTTTTTGGAGAGGAATGCCAAAGAATATCTGATACATTTGGTTTAATAAAACTAAACTACAGCATCGTCCAACACCTCTCAATAAATTATATGGGATAAAATTTATAAACACTACTGCAAATGTTTG